TTGGCGTTCTTTATATGCACGGAAACCTTGTGACATATACTACAACTTGGTTAAGATTAATCATTCTAAATAACCTTCCATCAAAAAGTCATTTTTGATGCTTATTGTCTCTTAATTGACTAGTCCGGATCTACGGGCGTTACACCGTGTATGTTTTAAGTCTACGAAGCCAAATGAGTATGTATGTGAATGTATGAGGCCCAACAAGCATGTAAAAGGACAACTAAGGCCTACCAAGCATGTAATGTATATTTCAGGCCCAATAAACATGTAAAAGAACAAACTAAGGCCCACTAAGCATGTAATGTATATTCCAGACCCAATAAGCATGCAAAATGACAACTAAGGCCCACTAAGCATGTAATGTATATTCCAGGCCCAATAAGCATGCAAAAGGACAACTAAGGCCCATTAAGCATGTAAGGTATATTCCAGGCCCAATAAGCATGTAAAAGGACAATTAAGACCCACTAAGCATGTAATGTATATTTCAGGCCTAATAAGCATGCAAAAGGACAACTAAGGCCCACTAAGCATGTAATGTATATTCCAGGCCCAATAAGCATGCAAAAGGATAACTAAGGCTCACTAAGCATGTAATGTATATTTTCGTCCCAATAAGCATGCAAAAAGACAATTAAGGCCTACTAAGCAGGTAATGTATATTCCACGCCCAATAAAAGTGAGTTTAACGCATTTGACTCATTTGTTATTGTAATGTTCGTTCTTGTTCAATCGTTTTCCGAAATGACATAAAAGGGCTACTTTTTGTAATATTGACATCTTTGGTCCAGTGGACTAAAAATTTAAAACTTATGGGTAATTTTGGTAAAAATGACACTTTAGGTCCTTTAGGACCAAAAGTTTACATTTAAGGCTAGTTTCAAATAAAAATAACATTTTTAACCAAATTTTATCAAAATTATCATTTTCGGCCCAAGTGTATGAAGTTTTTACATTTTCGGCCCAAAAGCGTAGAATTTATCCTTTTTGGCCCAAGTTTGATAAAATTATCATTTTCAGCCCTTATAACCAAAAAATAACATTTTTGGCTCAACTTTGTTAAAAATGACACTCAAGCCTACAAAAGTCCAAAAATTTACAATCTTAGCCCAAAAATCTTGAAAGCCCAATATGAGGCCCATTTGTGAAAATTTATACTTTTAGCTCTCTTAAAATCATAAATACAATAAAGATTCACATTGATCCAAAACAAATCCTTTTGGTCCCTTAGAACCGTGAGTTATATATAATAACTTCCCTTTTGATTATTTTGTCATTTTTGGCCCTCTTATGCAATTTTTCTTAGTTTAAACAACCTTTAAATGTTTTAAACCATTTCTTTGCATAATAAGTTGTATCAAGTGTTATTTTCTACAAATATCATCATATTTTAGCATATTGTAGAGTTTATGAAGTCTATAACATTATAATCACAACATATAACATGAAAAACACACAAAATCATGCATATACACATATATCTACATAAAACAACTTGTATTCTCCCCCAAAACATACTAAAACCGAAAATAAGGGGTATGAACTCACTTTGGGGTATTGGATTCGGTTTTAGTGAAGAGTTTGGAGGAGATTTCGGCCTAAATCACTTCTTGAAGAGAATTTCGAGTCCAAGTTGGTTCTAGGAGCTTAAATCACGAAATGAGAATGGTTTAAGGAGAGATTTCTGGAGTAAACTTGAATCAAAAGTAATAGAGTTTCACAATAACTTACCAAGAATGAATGAGCTTTGATGGAGAGTTCTTGATGCACCCTTAAAACTCATGAGAATTTGGAGGAATGGAGAGAGGAATTTCCTTGTGCTAGAGAGGAAAAAAAGAGAGAATATTGTGTTTGAAATGAAGATTGTGGGTGGTGAAGACCTTATGGCCGAGGGTATGGAGAGAAGAGAGATGTATACTAATCTTGTTATTTGTGAGGTAATGACTTGTCTAGAAACATGAGATTTTCCATAGATATATGGGGGTTAAACATGAGTTGTCACATACATGTTTAATCTTCATCCTTTTTTTACAATGTGTGTGTGTGTGTATATATATATATATATACACATACATACATATATAATCGAGAATGAGAGAGGAGGAAAATAAATATTGATTGTTGGGCTAAAATTGAACATAACCGAAAGTATAAGGTCGTACAAGGAAGTTTTCGGCCCATTGAGCCCTCTTATGCATTCACGGCCCAAAAAGAGGTAAAATAATGGGTTTTCGGCCCAATGAGGCTCAAGAAAACATTTATGGCCCATTAAGGCCCATTCAGACAAAGTGAGACATTTTAGGCCTTATATAGCCCAAAATGCTAATACTTAGTGAATGTGGGTCCAATTAGGGCCCAAATGAAGACTCTTAGCTTAAAAGAATCAAGTTGAGAGTTTATTGGCCTCTTAAAATTTTTGAACCGTGATATTAGAGTTACAACTCACAGCTGAATGTGTGAAGTGTATTGAATTAGGTTTTGAACTTCACGAGTGAGTTTAGATACAAATAGTTGTTTTTAGAATGAGCATTAGTACATAACATCAACTTAGATTACAAGTTACACAAGATTTGAGTACATGAAGACAACATTTCCTAGATAAAAATGCTAGTTGTGACAATCCACTACCTTAATGTGTGGTGGTTATGATTTTAGGCCAAAACAACACCAAAAACACTCAAACATCAGTCCAAACGCACCCGAAAGCACACAGCCACCGGAGATGGTGGCTAGCAGTGGTGGAACGATGAGAGAAGGTGGCAACCACCACCTGCACTGTGGTGGGTGATGAGTTTTCTTCGGTTTCCTAGCCAAGCAAAATCCATCCAACATTAAGCCTATGAAATATGCTTACACACACACACACACCAAAACACACAGCTACCCCCGGGTGGCTGGTGGCGGTAGAAGAAGACAATATGGCGGCAGCCACCATTGTTGGTTGCCATGGCGGTTGTTTTCAATTTCCGGCCATCCACCTATCCACACATACACAACTGAACACACACTCCATTGTTACTCTAAATAGTAAACGCACCATACACACACAATTAACATGTATAACACCATCACCCACACGATGGCAGACGATAGCAAAGGGACGGAACAAGAGAAGCCAACGCTCGGAGCGACAACGACGATGGGTTTGGCTAGGGCGTAGCAAACGAACAGAGAAGAAAGATTGAACCATGAACGACAACAACGACTATGCTATACAATACCGACGACCCACTGGTTTAACATCAATGTGAGGCTCTTCGTTGCTGTCGGTGGTTGCACCGACAATTTGGCTTCGATCGGCAACACCGAGTGGCTAAGAGGCTGTGACGGCCGAAGGTAGGGGATACAAGGTTGACAGTTGGAGGATGACATTAGGGTTAAGGTTTAGGTGATGCAACGACAGGGAAAGAAGACATCGGGTTTAATCCCGTGTCCCATTTTAAACTTCATACATAATTTACACAATCGGTCCCTTCCACTCATAATATTTTCAAAACAAATCCATAAATTAACATTTAACCCTCACCATTCGAAAACCCTTTCATTTAAGTCCAATATTTACCAAACACCCCCTGACTTCTGAAAATCTTTACAAACCAATCCAGAAATTACACTTAACCCCAATATTCCAAAATTATGACGTTTAACTCCCGAAACCAGCACCCTGCTAAATTATTATGGATTTTAGGACTACTATAAAATAATATAAAATATAAATTTACATCTTGGGGTTCAGGGTTTATTATTTAATTACTTAATTTCAAACGGAATGTTACATATACGAAATACTTATTTTTAAAAATAGGTATTTATTAAGTACATAAATATATACAAATTTGTTTTTATAAAAAAATGAATACAAACACATATTTTACAAAAAAAATAATACAAACACCCATTTTGATATATTATTTTGGGTTTAAAACAAATATATAACATTGTGTGGGTTGAAAAAAAAGTTGTATACCAATGAATTTTATTTTTAATTTAAAGACGTATCAGTGATAAAAATTCATTTTGAATTTTGAATATGAGTTATTATTTTATGGTATTAATTGTTATATAACTATTATTTAGAGTATACATTTAAAAAGAAAATTTTACTTTCTCAAACAATGTTTTTTTTTTTGTTAAAAATATGTTTGTGTGTGTGTATATATATATATATATAATAATATATATATATATATATATATATATATATATATATATATATATATATATATGTGTGTGTGTGTGTGTGTGTTTTTAATACAAATGCATTTATTATAAAATAGATGTTTATAAAAAGTATATAAATATGTTTTTACAAAAGAAATGTATACAATCATTTATTTGGATGCATATAAATATGTTTTTATAAAATATATGATAAAATCGATGTGTGTATATATTTTTTCTTGTAAAATACATGTTTGTATATATTTAAAAAAATGGATTTGTATATATTTATGTACGTAATAAATACCTATTTTTATAAATAGATATTTAAAAAAAATGAATTTGTATATATTTATATAGTTAATAAATTTCTATTTTTATAAATAAGTATTTCGTATATAGAAAAATTTTTAAAAAAAGTTTTTATATAGAAAATATAAGATTTTTTATTTGAAAATATGTTTTTTATATAAATATGATTTTATAAAGAAAAAATATATTCAAAATTTTTCCTTGAGAAAAAATGTTATAAAAAAAATTAAATTTACCATGAGTTCATAACAAAGTTATGAAATTTGAGCCAACAGAATAAATTTTGAATCAAATTTGTAATAAAATTTAAAATTTAAATCAAAAGTATAAATTTTGAATCAAATTTATAAAAAAAATTTAAAATCTAAACTAAAAATGTAACTCTTAAAAGTTAAATAAACGTTTGACGTATGGTCGGTTTTTAAAATTTAATTAAATAAAAAAATATATATAAAATTTTTTTTACCCATTAAAAATTAAAAATAAGTTATGTAACTAGTAACTACACTCTTTGTTACAAACTACTAGTTTGACGGTGCTCCGATGTGGTGAATGGCGACGGATCACATCTCATCTATCTACTCTTTAATTTCACTTGTAAATAAATGATTCCTCTTTATGTTCTCCTGCCCATTTCCATCATCCTGCCTGGACGCACACAGCCAGTTTAAATTTCAAAAAAGGTTTCAAATCTCACTGTAGAACCCTAAAAATATCACTCGATCCATCATTGTTTTCCATCACAAACGTTGGTCTTATACACTTTTTAAATTATTTTGTACCTCTGGATTCGGTGTCTGGGGGGTTTCATCTCCATTCACTGCTCGATCTGTATTTTTCTTGGCTTCGATCTGTTATCGTTTAAGTCTTTTTCGACTTGAAAGATACAAAAATGGAGGCGATTGAAGAATTGGCTCAACTTGCGGATTCGATGCGGCAGGCTGCGGCTTTGCTTAACGATGAAGATGTTGATGCAAATTCATCGTCTTCTTCAAAACGCCCTTCCACATTTCTTAACGTTGTTGCTCTTGGCAATACCGTAAGTTTGCTCTACGAGCTCTTTTGATCCGACTACTTGCTTTTGTGTTCATTGACCAAGTCAGTGGATCTCTCGATATGGTTTTGTTGCGATCCCTATTTTTGATGGATCTTTTTCTAAATGTAGTTAGGAACTATTTTTGCTTAGATTTCAATTTATCATATAGATGATTCAAAACTATTGTTTGCAGCGGAAACTCATGTACTGTTCGCTTAATGCCACATGTCACAGTATGAATTTGCATTATGCTTTCCACTAGATCAGGCTCCACTTATCAACTGCTAGGGTCTCCTGTTTAGCTAATCATGGATCCAATATGATCTTCTTGCTAGCCTACCCTTTTGCTTTTTTAGGTTTACCAATTTATGGATCTTAAATAGTTCATTCATCAGATGCTCCTGATTATTCCGTAGACAGGGTTATTATCTAATCAAGTACATGGTCATCGCATCTAGCATCTACTTGACGTTGTTTTGTATGTTAAGATAGACTAGAAGAACAATATTCCTTTAAGAAGGCACACTTACATACTTTAGAAAAGAATATGGAATCAAAGAACTTTGATAGTGCAGTCACATTGTGGATTTGTGGGCAAATTTGTTCTGTATCTTATCTGACAGTTCTTTAGTTGGATGTCCCTTTTGTAAAATTAAAGGATGGTAGCTAGTTTCTAATTATGGGCTACCAATTGTTCAGAGTGCAGGTAAATCAGCAGTTTTGAACAGTTTGATTGGACATCCTGCTCTGGTACGATCTTCATTTTTCTTTATTTTCATCTTCAATCTGGACATATATAATTCACTTTATGTTTTTCTAATTCATTATGATAACATAACATAACAAGTCATTTCAATTTGCAAATTAACTTGAGCAGCCAACTGGTGAAGGTGGTGCAACTCGCGCGCCTATATGTATTGAATTAAAGAGGGATGGTAACTTAAGCAGCAAATCAATTGTACTGCAGATTGATAGTAAATCCCAACCTGTGTCTGCAAGTGAGTCCTCATGTCATACTTAAGGGCTTAAGCCAATTCAACACACACCACACACATTTCATAATAGGGTTCTACATATATGTCTTCATATACACCAAATATGATTATTGAATTTTTATGCTCTTTTTGTCCACCAACAGGTGCTCTTCGACACTCATTGCAGGATAGGCTTAGTAAAGTGTCAAGCAAGAGTCGGGATGAAATATTTTTGAAGCTTAAAACAAGTACAGGTGAGTCTGTTTGCTTAAAAATATCAAGAATTTGGCAAATGCATTCGGATTCTTTTTATAGCACTTAAGCCTGATTGTTTGTTTGCTTCATTTTTTTATTAAATTTCTATGTTTTTGACATATTCGAGATACAATTTAATTCCTTCCATTCTTTTTTATTAAAAGACCAAAATACCCTCATTTAGTCACACAGAATGGATGAGTAAACTCCTGAATACCATTTTTATGCGCAACCTCTGCCTTCCTATATGCTTCATTTGTTATTCTTTTTATTTGCTAATTTAATCATATTGTTTCCAGCTCCTCCTTTGAAATTAATTGATTTGCCTGGAGTGGATAAGGGAAATCTTGATGATTCTTTGGTGAGTGGCTACAAAATTTGTTGTTTTTATTCCACATTGTTTATTTATTTATTCTTTTTTTTGCAGAGTGAATATGCTCAACATAATGATGCAATTCTCCTGGTCATAATACCTGCTGCCCAGGCACCAGAAATTGCCTCTGCAAAAGCCCTCAGAATTGCAAAAGAATACGATGGAGAATGTAGGTTTACTTTTACTATTCATCTTCTTATCCACTTTTTCAGTTTTACTCTCAGATTCTTTATAAATTATTAAATTATAATATTCTTACTGTAGCAACTAGAACCATTGGTGTGATCAGTAAAATCGATCAAGCAACATCAGATCCCAAAGTTCTTGCTGCTGTTCAGGCACTTCTGTTGGGTCAAGGACCAAGGAGTTCAGCTGATATCCCATGGGTTGCTCTGATTGGGCAATCAGTTGCCATTGCTTCAGCTCAATCTGGAAATGTGGGGTCAGATAACTCGTTAGAAACTGCTTGGAGGGCTGAAAGTGAAAGTTTGAAATCTATATTGACAGGTGTCCCTCAGAGCAAGCTTGGTAGATTAGCTCTTGTGGAGACCCTTGCTCATCAAATTCGTAGCAGAATGAAAATCAGGCTTCCAAGTCTTTTATCAGGGTATGTCTATCATTGGTTATTTTGCTATTACTTGGTTTATGTAATTTGTGTTTCTATGTATCAGATTAAAAATAGATTACAAAATGGTCCTTGTGCTTTCTGATTTTCACCGTGTTTGGTCCAAAATTTCAATTTTGGTCTTTATTTTAACGTTTCATATCGATTTTGGTCCCTGGAACCTTGAAATGAGGACCAAAATTGATATGAAACTGTGAAATGAGTACTAGAATCAGAAAGTCTTGGGGAGAAAAAGCGATATGGAACCTTGAAATAAGAACCAAAACTAAAAAATGTTTTCGTGTTGGACTAAAACGGTAAAAACCAGATAGCACAGGGACCATTATTGTAATTTACTCTATAACTACAGTAAAAAAAGAATCGAGCAGTACTATACTCTGCTGTTTATCCTTGTCTTTTATCATTAATTTTTTATGCCTTTCATAGATAATTGTATTTGTATACCACACTAGCAAAAGTTTCTTTTTTCAGAAATTAAGTATCCTCCTACATTTTCTTCCTACTTATCTTCCTACCCATTTGAAATTGTGACAAGTGTCATATTTTAGGACACTTGTCATCATTTCAAATGGGTAGGAAGATAATTAGGAAGATATTTAACTTCTCTCTCTTTTTTTAATCATATTTTATGCAATCTGTAATCATATTGTTTTTTAAAACTCATGCAGGCTTCAGGGTAAGTCACAAATTGTGCAAGATGAATTGGTAAGGCTTGGGGAATCAATGGTGACTAGTTCTGAAGGTACAAGAGCTTTGGCTTTGGAACTATGTCGTGAATTTGAGGACAAATTTCTTCAACATATTATGACTGGGGAGGTAAGAACAAGTAGTTATGCGTATTATAATAATAATAATAATTATTATTATAACCTACTTGAATGCTTGTTTTTCAGGGAAATGGTTGGAAAGTTGTTGCAAGTTTTGAGGGTAACTTTCCTAATAGGATCAAACAGCTTCCTCTTGATAGACATTTTGACATAAAAAACGTGAAGAGGGTATCTATTATATATTTTCCTCAAATTTTGGTTCACTTAAATATATATTCAATACTTTCTATAATGACAATGGAATTTGTATCAGGTTGTTTTAGAAGCAGATGGTTATCAACCTTACCTCATATCTCCAGAGAAAGGATTACGCTCTTTAATAAAAGGTGTATTGGACCTTGCAAAGGAGCCCTCACGTCTCTGTGTTGACGAGGTAATAAAACTACACATTCTTTTGTTTTTCATTTTTAATTAATTCCCCTTTTCTCTTATTAATATTATTATTCTTTTAAATTCATTTCTTTAATCATTTGTAATGAGTACAGGTTCATCGTGTACTTGCTGACATAGTTTCAGCTTCAGCTAATGCTACACCAGGGCTAGGGAGATATCCTCCATTCAAAAGAGAGGTACTTTAGTGCTTTATTATAAGTGTAAAATTACAGGAAATAGCAATGTGATAATGCTGACGTGGCACTGATTGTTTTTAATAGGTGGTGGCAATTGCTACAACGGCTCTGGAGGGGTTTAAGAATGATGCAAAGACCATGGTGACTGCACTTGTTGACATGGAGAGGGTGTTTGTTCCACCACAACATTTCATCCGTTTGGTGCAAAGAAGGTATGCTAAATTTCATTTAGGGTTAAATGCAAGAAATAGCAACCTACTTCCATTGATTTATTTATTATAGCATCATACTCTCATTTCTTCCTATTACAACATTAAAAAGTTGAAAGTACAATGCTTTAATAGAAAAAAATGGAAGTTAGATACTGTATTCAACAAGTAAATGAAAGTATGTTGCTATTTCTTGCATTTAGTCCTTTGATTTATTTCTATTTTTCTGTTAAAATAGTATTAGATCAATTTTGGATTCATTAATTCTCAAGTTACCTTTTTTTATTATTATTATTATCAGGATGGATAGACAGCGAAAAGAAGAAGAGATTAAAACCAAATCTTCCAAAAAGGCTGTTGATGCAGAACAATCCTTACTAAATAGGGTACATTGAGAGGCTTGAAATAAACTTAATAATTTTATTTTCGTTAATTTTTTTTTTAATTGTTGTTTTTGCTTTGTTTAGGCAAGTAGTCCCCAAAAAGGTGGGAACTTAAAATCAATGAAAGATACCAAGCAAGATAAGGATGAAAAAGAGGGGCCCACTTTAAAGACTGCAGGACCTGATGGAGAGATAACAGCAGGTTTACACTTTGACATCTTTCTCGACTTTTATTTTGTCTTACCATATCTTGTAATAAACATATAACCATTATTTCATGCCTGTATTATATTATTTACTTCCTTTTAGGGATGTATAATGTATCTATCTCTCTCTCTTCATGCAGGATTCTTGTTGAAGAAAAGTGCAAAAACTAACGGGTGGAGCAGGAGATGGTTTGTTTTAAATGAGAAAACTGGGAAGGTTAGTGACATGGCATGAACTTTAATATACATGTTTTCATGTCCCTTTGCTTTGAAATCCCTTTTTTTTGCAGCTTGGATACACTAAAAAACAAGAAGAGAGAAATTTCCGTGGTGTCATCACTTTAGAGGTACGTGTGGGCAACCATCCTCGTGAAATTTAGTGTTCATTTCATTTGCAAAATATATAAAACAACCTTACCAATTAACAATGTGATTTTCAACAAACTCTAACTAATATTAATAAGTAACAATAAACAAACAAATCAGTAATGATGCATGTGCCATGTGTGATCAGGAATGTGTTGTGGAAGAAGTTGAAGAGGAAGAACCCCCAGCCAAAAGCTCCAAGGACAAAAAGTCAAAGGTGGAAGAAAAACCACCGAGTTTGGTCTTCAAAATAACAAGCAAAGTTGCATATAAGACTGTTTTAAAAGGTACTGTAATTGTTTTTCATTGTTACTGTGTAATGATATTTGAAATGTAGACGTAAAGTTTAATAATAAGTGGTTGTGCAGCTCATAGTGCTGTTCTGTTGAAGGCTGAGAGTGGTGTAGATAAGGCTGAATGGTTAAACAAATTAAGAGCTGTCATGGGTATCAAAGGTGGTGAAGTGGGTATGAAGCCAGATGGTCCTCCCATTCGCCATACTCATTCAGATGGCTCTCTTGTAATTTACTCAATCCCTCTCTCTTTTTTTTTTTTTTTTTCAACTAATTCTTGTCAAAAAGAAGAAAGATGACCTAACAAGTCTTTATAACTGATTTGTTGCAAATTGTAGGATACAATGGCTAGAAAACCCGCAGATCCAGAGGAAGAACTTTGTTGGATGGCTCAGGAAGTGCGTGGTTATGTTGAAGCAGTTCTCAACAGCCTTGCAGCAAATGTCCCAAAGGTCTCTGTTTAACTAACTGTCTCCCTTCATCTTCTTATTTCTATTTATTTATTTAAATTTGTTATGCAGGCTGTTGTTCTATGCCAAGTGGAGAAGGCTAAAGAAGACATGCTGAATAAGCTCTATAGTTCTGTAAGGTCAGTATTCGATTCCTATGTATATATTTCCGTATGGTTTGAAAGGATTTGGAACAAGAAATGACGGATTTGCCCTTTTGTATTTGTTTGGTGGAAAAGCTCCCAGAGTACAGCTCGGATCGAGGAGCTGCTTCAAGAAGATGGGAATGTGAAGCGTAAAAGGGAGAAAGTACAGATGCAATCCACCTTACTCTCCAAACTCACCAGGCAACTCAGCATTCATGATAACCGAGCAGCTGCAGCCTCAACCATCTCCAATGGTAGCCCTGCAGGTAATACCAACCTACTTTCATGTATTTATTTTTATTATTTTTTCATACATTATTTGCTATTTTGGGTGTTTAATGATTTTTATGAATATGAGAAATGAACAGAAAGTCCAAGAAGTAGTGGAGCATCATCAGGTGGTGGGGACTGGAGATCTGCTTTTGATTCTGCGGCCAATGGCGGGAGCCCATCGGGTCTTGATTCCCGATATGGATCATCCAACGGGCATAGTCGAAGGTACAGTGACCCGTCTCAAAACGGTGATGATGGTCCCGCCCCCAGATCAAACTCCACCGGCCGCCGCACGCCCAACCGACTGCCGCCAGCGCCACCTGGCGCTTCTGGTTATAGATACTAGATTTATAGTTGAAAGAATTTGGAACTTATGAGTTATGATTGATTCATGCATTCTTGTTACGGTACATTCTGTAGAACTCATTTATTGTAGATAGATATTTGATATGACGGAAATACCCTTGGTTATTCGGTGGTTTTGTTTATTTTTTATTTTTTTTTAAGAGTTGTTTTGGACGATGAGGGTGGATTTGTATTTTTTTTTTTTACAATTTATGATGCTTATTAGGCATATATATTGGTTGCTATTTTTTTGATGCTTGGAAATAAATATCTTTTTGTTTTGCTTTCTTCTATTTGCTCTTGTGTTTTGTTGAGACAAATTACGAAAAAACCACTCAATTTTGTGCCATGTTTGAAAACAATTTTACAAATCAACCATTATGATTTATCAACGTGGTTTCCAGTTGAATTAACAGTTTGTTAATCACTTTATTTTCGAAACTAATCATAGTTTGATTCGGGTTAAGATGATGAAATGCTAACTGATAACAACAAAACCTCAATTAAGTAAGATTGTATAAGTATAAAGGTTCAAAATTCTAGCAAGCTAAAACAAGGTGGGTGAGCAAAACTGAAATTGAAAACTAAAAGCTGACAAAACCCAAACTAAAATAAAACTGGCAGTTAGGGTTTATATTTTTTAAAAACAAAAAATATGGGTTCGGTTTCGGTTTTTAAGGAGTGTACACATCGAGAAAAACTAAACCAAACCGATTTTATATAGTATATATATATTCAATGAATTATACATGTTTATATTGGTATTATGCGACTTATAATCACAAAAAGTGCTCTAATTTAATGGTTAAGGCGTTGATGCTTTGTGCAGCTGACACATTCCTCTACCTCTCAACTCCTCTTACCTCTCAACTCCTCTTTGGAGAGTCCCACACCGATGGAGATAAACAAGAATTTTCCTTCTCATTATCTATATAGTAAAAAGTTGGCTAGATCTTTCATTGCTACCGGTATACCCAAAACCCATAAATCAATTTGAGTGGGTTTAAATCCGAAACTGAGCCAGAAAAAACCAAAAATTGAGAAACCGAACCCGTTGGTTTCAGTTTGGTTTTGCTTTAGTTTTTTTTGAAACCGAAGCCTGTCAGTTTGGGTTTGGTTTTTGGGTCAAAATCAACCCAAATCCATGCTCACCCCTAATACGATGATATGTTTAAAACCTATTCATGTATGTATCTTAAGAAGAAAGAAGGAATAGGGATCACAAGAAGTAGTTACTATTTTAACAAAAGTTTTGGATGTTAATATAGATTTTCTTGTATGTACTTCCGCTTATGTAATTTTGTTAAACCATAATGAAATAAATTTTTTTTCCTACTAAAATAAAGAGCACTAAGGATAAATGATGGTACCCATATGATTGGAGAATCACAAGTTGGTATCAAAACATTAGTTTAAATGAACTAAGTTTTCCTTAAATAAAATAAGGGAAAATGACACTGTAACCCTACAATGTATTCATTTGCCAATTCAATTCCTTATGTTATTTCTGTTCCTTTTAAGTGAACAAAGTTAGTAACCTATCTTTTTGAGACCTCTACCTATAATATATAGTTTCTTGCCATTTCAAAGTCAAAATTGGATAGTAAAAGTCAAAATCATAGTGTAAATCGGAAAAACATCGTTGGACTGTATCGAGTTGGAGTGTATTGAGTTAGAGTGGATCAACTTCGACAATTGAGACTGTATCGACTTCCACAATCGAATATCTATGACCGTTCCCTCTATCAACTTCAACTGCTGTATCAACTCTGACTGCTTTTTATTTCTAGAAACTAATCTTCTTTGTTATTCTGTAATTGTAATATGACAACTTCAATGGAGATGGATATGAACCTCGATGAAAAAAACCAGAATGTTAATGATGATGGAGGGAGGTGGAAGACGAAAGGTTCCGATTTTTCCAAAAAAAAACCAAAACACAATTATCATTGATCCATAGCAAGTTCACTTCTAAGATACATCAAGTTACACCTTGTAAACAATTATGCCAAAAAACAAAACCCAACTAAACATTAACTAAACCTTCAGCTTCTGATTTTGGCTTAGCACCTCCTTCATGCAGATATCCAGGCTTTGATTTTGGATTACCACTTCCCTCAAGCTTTGATTTTGGACTTCTTGTAACGTCCCAAAAGTAAAACCCGTAGAATTTCCATTTTTAAATTACTAATAATAATTCATATCAATTTCATAAAACCAAGGTAATCAAAGTTTTATCAATACATCATTGTTATCAGAGTAAATAACAGAAAACGGAAACATGTGGTGTGTGTTCTGTAATCATCCCAAGCTCTTCCTTTTGAAAACAGAAGTACCTGAAACATAAACTGAAAACCGTTAGCACAAAGCTTAGCGAGTTCCCCAAAATACCACATACCATACATACACAAATAAACACATACTGGGCCCCACTTAGCATCGAGCCCTGCTCAGTATACATATCTGTCAGTCATCGGGCCCCGCTCAATATACATATAAAACATATTAACATATCAATACATAACATATGCAATAATCACAAAGATACATAGCATATAGAATGGTCATCAGGCCTTGCCCGACATCGGTTCGTACCAGGTAATCATAAAACACATACATATAAGTAGCATACAATATACTTATTAGGCCCAGCCTGGCATCGGGCCCTGCCCGGCATCGAGCTCCGCTCGGTAAACATAAAACACATAACACATGCGATAGTCACGCAGACGACAAGCATATTAAGCATAACAAACCATAGGTCGACATTGGTGCCTTCGACCCTCTAAACACAGTGAGGAAACTCAACTTGGATTGCTGAATCTCATAGAAAGAATCTTTAGCTGCTGGCCCACTAAAATCCCCACGCTAACAATCATAAAATAATCATCCATTAATAATCGGATCCCGACCCACACTAAGTGTCCAAAACTAGGGTAAAAGACCTTCTTACCCTTTGCCCAACTTGGCCCAAAGCCTAGGCCCAAACCACCAATCCAAAGGCCCAAGTTCCAAATAAACACCTAAGGCCCAAATATAGCTCAATTTTCCAAATTGGCCCCAAACCCTTTCATGGGCCTTAAACCAAGGTCCAAAATATTCTTATCTCAAAACACTTGAATTTAGATGGCCTAACAAAGCCCTAAACATCTAAGCCAAAAATATGGCCCAAACCGAAGACCCAATAATCTGAGGCCCACTCTGCTGAGTACATGGGGTGTACTTAGTTTGTACGCGCAACGTACTCGCCTTAGGGCTTGTACGCCAAGTGTACTTGCTTGTACGCCCAACGCACTCTCTAATTCAACCATCTTCCATTTCTAGCTCTTAACTGATTAAGACTTTACTCCAACACTTAGATCTGACATCCTTTGGATGGTTTACCATGTAAAGTTGCCAACTTTACGTGCATGCATGACTTAATGAAGCTCTTAAAGCTCAAAAGGACTTAATAGATGACTTAATGCATGCATGATGCCATAAACACCATAAAGTTGCTAACTTTATGCCTAAGAAACTCGTAATATGTCCAGATCTAAAAGAATAAGTCTCACAAACGTAACCCATCAAGCTAACCCAAAAGGGACCAAAAGCATAACAAACCAAGATATGAAGAGATCTAAGCAAGGATAAGACAAGTTATGAACTTGATACCTCAAAATACTTGCAAAATGTGTGATGATTCTAGATCTAAAAACTTCACACCAAGCAAAGCACCTTTAATCTTCTTTACTTCCTTTAAAAAGAGAAAAATAACCACCAAATTCTTCTCACGAGCTCAAAGCCACAACAATGGAGGTTAAGGGTTGAGATTTAGGGTTTAGGAGGCATGGAGGCTGGTAAAGAGGCCATCCCTAGGGGCTTAACGAGCTTAAATAGAGTGCAACATCTCAAAACTATGGTTTCATTAAACCATCATACACCCCGCGTAATCCTCGTACTCCCAGTGTACGAGGCCTCACACCTGTGATTAATCCTTCTTAGTACGCTAAGCGTACACCAGTGTACGCCCCACATACTGGATCTCGCACTAGTACGCCATACGTACTCCCTATGTACCCCCATATACTAGTGTTATCCTTAAACCCTAAATTCTTCTGAAGGTCATAACTTTTTCATTATAAGTTTGTTTTCGACGATCCTTATAACCATGAAAAGGTAACGAGAAGCTCTACGCTTTTATCATCTCATACATGCCTTAAAATTTTCCGAACAAAAATCCAATTTCCATAAAAGCCCGAGTTGACACTTTACCAAAATATCCCTTGGCTTCAAAACACAAATCGAACACCTGGGTCATTTAAATACGTCAACCACATCCAAATGGGAAACGATTCGGGATAGGACGTTACACTTCAACAACATACACATGATTTTCAACCTGATCAACCCATAAAAGAAACCCACTCCTAAGTCCCTGTAGATTTCAATATCACCAATTAGCAAAATTAGGTTAGAACCGAAAAAACCCAAATGTTTATTGAGAATAGAGTACCATATTCAGGCAAGTGTCACACCCCCAAACCAAGGATGGCGGAAACATCCGGGGGTGGAAGACTTCATGTATAGTATAACCACAATTGCAATAGGAATTCAAGCAAGCACAACCAAACATATATATATATATATATATATATATATATATATATATATATATATATATATATATATATAATTGAAAGAGTTACATCATTGTATGAATTACATGTTTCCAAATCAACTACAATATGTTGACAAAATATGAAATATTGACGCCTTAACGTCCCATCCTCAAAATGCACTTTGATACCTGTTTAGTGATTTCCTGAGAATACAAGTTGTTTGAAAAAGTGTAAACACAAAGGTTGGTGAGTTCATAAGCTTTTGTTTTGAATTGATAAAAGTCTTTCTCTTGTAAATGTAATTTTTGTTCTAGAAAATCCGATAATTTCCTTAAAATGTGTAATATAGTCTTATATCCAAAGACCGAAATGTATAAGTAACATTTCTTACT